CTACAGCAATCCCAGCAGCCTCTACAGCAATCCCAGCAGCCTCTACAGCCCGATAAAGGTCTCTTATTGTATAATTTTTCTTGTAAACATGTTTTTGTTGTTGTTACTGTTGCACTCTGTTCTCATACTTTTGCCAATTTTATCATTAATTAGCAATATTAATGACATATGCCTTGTGGATAAAGATGATCTGATTTGAGAGACAGACAGACACACAGAGAGAGATACCTGAAGGATTCCCTCCACAGTCCTTCTGATGTGGTCACTGGATTTAACACCTTCCATCTCTCTTGTGGCCAGAATCCGGTTTACCATCTTCCAGTCAAGGATGTAATGCACTGTAACAGTGATGTAGTGTGTGTTGGTCCTTTCCTCTGTCCAAAGGTCTGTGGTTACAGCATGGTCTCTAGTCTGCATGAAAGGAAGAATTATATTTTTAATGGGTCACAAAATATCTTACATGTAAAAAAGATTACCAGTTTAGAATATGGAGATATTATGGCGTTTAAAAATTGTAAGGAAAATCGGGTGTAGGGTTTAGAATCTACAGATCACAGACTACTGCATGACAGGTACAATTTTTGCATAAAAATAGTGCAGAGTGACATACCTCCATGACCAGCAGTTTTATTTTCTCATACTCCCCTTCTACGTGACGGGAAACTGTGCGTGCACATGGCAGTATGTCTTCCACCTGCACATTACTTCCATATTTGGCTCCAATGTCGAGCAGCTCCTGTGCTACGTTGGTAAAGCCTTTCCCCTCTACCACAGCAAAGGGTCTGAGATCTTGGCTGCACATGTGAGCAATTTTGTCGGTCAGACGAGACTTGACACCCGACGGCAATTTTCGTTTGATGAATAAAGCGATGCTTGACTGATTCTTTCCCGAATTTGCCTTGCAAGTGTGCCTCTTCAGACCGCTCGTCCCTGAATCACTTCCGTACTTCACTAAGACTAAGCATGTCTTACAAGCAGCGTATATCGTGCTATCACCGTCACATTCTACTCTCATAAACTTACTTAATATTTCAGACTTTCCGACCAGTTCTGTAAACTTAATAGACATGTCATTACTTCTGACTTTGTGCTGTAAATCATTTTTTGCCACATCGACTTCTCCGCGGGTGTTAGCTCCCTCCATCACTGCTCTTTGAATTCCGGCGGGAAAGCCGTGACAAAAAGATGGCTTCTGGGACGGCTGGGTCGTGTAGTTATTTTTTAATTGCGTTACATTGTAGGCGTATTAAAAGGAAACTACAAAATGGTGCATTTACTTTTTTTTTTTTTTCGTCTTTCCTATTGGTTGATTCCCGCTCCCGTCTGCTCCCGTTAACTATTTTATCCTGTACCGTCCCAATCCCGTGATTAATAGCAAAGATGACTCCCATCCTGCAGGAATCCCACGGGAATCCCGTGACCCGTGGGATTCCCGAAAAAATGTCAGCCTCTAACCCTAACCACTTCACTAAAGTCAAGTCAAGTATATTTCTATAGCACATTTACAGCAGTTGTAACACTGCACCAAAGTGCTGTACAAGGATCATAAAAGAATAGTAAAAAAGCAATGAAAAACAAGCAACAAAACAGCAACAAAAGACATAAATGGAAATAGCTTTAAAAGTCTGGAAAGGGGGATGTGCAGGAGGGCGTTACTATTAGATCTCAAGGATCTAGGGGCTGGCTGAAGATGAACAAGATCTGCTAAGTATGGTGGGGCCTGCCCATTAAGAGCCTTAAAAACCATCAATAAAATCTTAAAATGTATTCTAAAATGAACCAGGAGCCAGTGGAGTGAAGCTAGAACTGGTGTAATGTGTTCTCTCTTTTTAGTACCAGTCAGCAGTCGTGTTGCTGCATTCTGGACCAACTGTAGTTGTGATAAAGGTGACTGTGGAAGACCAAAATAAAGAGCATTGCAGTAGTCAAGCTGTGATGTAATAAAAGTATGTATGGCCTTCTCAAAATCATCAAGATTTAAAAAGGGCTTAACTTTGGCTAAAAGTCTTAATTGATAAAAGCTAGACTTGACCACAGAGCTTATTTGCTTGTCCATTTTAAAGTCGCCATTCATAATTACACCCAAGTTCCATACCGAAGACTTAACATAAGGTTCTAAGGAACCATGGTCCAGTTTGCGGCATTTACTACTGGTATTGGGGTTAAAAATAAGACCTTCCGTTTTGTTTTCATTGAAATTTAAGAAATTAAGAACCATCCATTCTTTAATGTCTTCAAGGCAGTCAAATAATGATAAAAAAAAAATAGTGTCAGTCCATTTTAAAGTAGATTTGTGCATCGTCGGCATAAAAATGAAATGAGATGCCATGTTTTCTTAAAATGGCTCCCAGCAGAAGGATGTATAAAGAAAACAACATAGGGCCAAGTACTGAGCCCAGTGGGACTCCACAGTGAACAGATGCACGAGAGGATGTACAGTCACCAATACTGACAGAAAAACTTCTGTCAGAAAGGTAGGATCTAAACCACTCTAGTGAAGTCCCTGTAATGCCCACAGAAGCTTAGAAAAACATTTTTTACCACGGTGCATTTTCTCAGCCATGATTTTCTCAACTTTGAAGCTTTTATCTTTGTCTAGTCTGATCTTTTGTGATATCAACATCATAATCTTTTAACTTGTACATGGGGGGCTCCAGATAGATGCTCAGCAGTGAAATATTCATCTGTAAAAGTTTACTCATATCCTTTGATAAACTTTAAGCTTGGTTTTGACACCCTGACCACATCACCAGCATTAAACTGATACCGATATTTTTTGATGTACCCAACATCTTGCTGTATATGTTGTTGAAGACTTGGGACGTGTTCTGTGTATTTACCTTAACCGGCTTCATTTTAATAGTACTGTGGTAGGTGTTATTGTAAGTGCACGCTAGATCTTGTACAATGTCCACATATCTAAGCCGTAAGATAATGCCACATTCATGTCTTCTACTTTTCCACCACAGATGCCTTGACATCGTTACCAGTAGCGAAATGTATTATCCCATATGTCTTGGTAAGATTATGAAACGATGCATTAAAAAAACTCCTTCTCCTTCTGTTTGAAACTTTTTGGGAATCCTGCCTTCAGAGAGAATGTTTTTGTATGCTTTCCTTACCTCTGTGTCGGTCTTGTTTTTAAGACTCCGCACCCACGCATATTTTGATAGAATGTCTATACACGTTAGCATGTATTTAAAGTTGTCGTTCTGTTCAGTGTAAGCTGACATGTCTACTAAGTCAGCCTGCCACTGAGAATCGATATTAGTCACAAAGACTCTGTTTCTTCTAAAGTTAAGTCTCGGTGGCTTATGTAATGTGTATGCATCTTCTCCAGCTAACCATGTATATTGCACTCACGTTCTTCATCTGTCAGCTACCTGTATAGTCTGTCAGTACCTCCAAATGACCCAGAGTTTGATGGTATGTAATAAACATGTTTCAATTGCTTGTTATCCATTGTGAACCTCTAGCAATAAAGACACAATGTTTTTGACTCAGCTCATTTATTTAGGAAGATTACAAGCAAGTAAAAATAGCCAAACACATTTTGACCAGAGTCAATTGCAAACAGTTATAAACAGTTCAGCGTTCACACATCCCCCAGAGTCTGTTCGAACTTGTGCATATCCCAGAAATCATTAATTGTCGCATCTACAGCACACTCATGATCTTTCCCTTCAACATCACGTTTCAAAATGCGCAATTTCTCCCGTACACTTATTTCATCTATAAGATCACATATGATTATGCGCCTTGTACTTTCACAGCGTGTGTGTCACACTGCGGGGAGGCATGGAAAGGGGGCACAGGAGCAGGAGTCGCAGGATTGGGGAACGAGGGATTTATTAGCGAAACCAAAAAGTCACACAGGGCAAAACCGGTAAAGATGAAACAGCTGATGACACAGGGATTCCACACAAGGTTAATGAGGGGGCATGGCACATAGGAGGATCGGACAAGCGGGGCATGACAGGGTGGCTGTGGGTGGAACATCGTGGCCGCTTTTGTGATGACATTTTTAATGTGGCACAAACCCCCACCAGGTTACTCTTTATTAAGGGTGCGAGTCGTGTGGTGAAACAATTTTCGCTTCAAGGAAACAACATGGCCACCAGCCGTCAAATTTTTGCAGACTTCATACAACCAGAACCTGCAGGGAGTTCGACCGGCCCAGCAACACCTCCTCCTAGCAACTTAACACAGCTAAACTCTACATGGGCACCATGCAAGCTGATGAGACAGTGCAAACATGAAACTCTGGGTAACATATTCTCATATCATGATTGTATCGGTATAAAACTAGAGAATAAATTTTGAAGAAATTTACTCTTTTTTTTCTAATGAGATGGGACGTTAGTACAACCCCCTTCTAACTGCAACAGCCAATGAAATTAGCAAACCATGTTGAAAACATATTAAAATCCATCACCCTGTGAACCAGCTGTCAAGATGTCGCACTCCTCGTAGCGTGCAATGGCAAGCAGTCAGCCATCTTCGCTCAGCCTAACATCTCTTGAAGTCGCCACTCTGCAGAACCCATCCTGACCTCCACCGATAAGTGAAAATACTTTTGGACTGCAGCTGAACAACAACTCATCATGGGGTCCGTATGGCATCCCGTGCCCATCGCCACCTCCTACATGGGCTCAATGGCCAGCGCCTGATGCTGTGACCCCGTTTACTTGTCCTGAATTCATGGACACATCACGGGACCCGGTCCTGAAAATGATGCCGTCAATTGAAGAGGTCTGCAAATGTTTTGATGCGCTGTGTTTAGCGGAGGATTCTGTGGATGGGAGCATCACAACATCTGTCATGAAAATAATTAAAGGGGCACTGGCCTATATTCTGGATCGGATAATCGAGGACGACATGAAGGAAGACTGTCTCGGGTGTGCTGTAAGCCACCCAAGCCAGCTTTGACACTCGTGTCTGTACAACCCCGATGCATTTTACTTCTTTAACAATTTTGAAAAGTTGTCAAAAAACTGTATAGATCGTGGCTGAACCCTCTGGGGTCAAGTGCATCGTCGGCGATGCAGCATACTTTTTGCATCTATTTCAGTTTATATCTCGCTGAAATCTTAATGTAGAATCATGAAAAAAACGCTGGCTAATTCTGTAATCTGTCTTCTTTTCAAAACGTCCATTGTCGGAAGTATTAACGTTTTTAAAATGAGGTTAAATAGACCACCTGGACCGTACAGTAATTTTCTAGTAGTTTGCTGATTTTTTAACTAACCTGGTGGTCAGTACTGACAAAGCTGTTATTGTGGGTGATTTTAACATTCATATGGAGAAAGATAGTGATCCTTTAAAAATAGCATTTACAGCTATTCTTGACTCTCTAGGTGTATGTCAGAATGTAGTCGGGCCTACTCATGCCTGTAACCATACCCTTGATTTGATTATTAGTCATAGCATCTTGGTGGAACATGTATCTACAGTATTATGCCTCAGAGTCCTCTGCTCTCTGATCATTACTTGTTAACGTTTGAAATCCAGTATAGCCTCCCGTTGACCGCAGCTCCAAAGTACAGAATCAGACGTTCCATTGCCTCACTAACTACAACAACATTTATGAAACAA